AAATGCACAAGAATATATTAATCAAAAATACCCAATAAATGGAACGTGTAATAGAAAATCTGATCCAGAAAACAGGGGCAAAAGACGCGAACAAATAACCCAATTAGATCTTAGTAAAGGAAAAACCGGCGGCGAAAACTTATTTAATAAAGAACCCAAAAACCTAATTGGTGACTTAAAATTAGAAGGATTTACTAATTTGAGAATTTTTAAAATCACCTCTCATCAATTGATTAGTTTGGATGTTAGCGCGTGTAGAAATTTAGAAGAATTATACTGTCATGAAAATGAACTTACTAAATTAAATATAAACGGTTGCTCTAACCTCAAAATAATCAATTGTACCAATAATTCTCGTTTAAACGAAATAAATATAAAAAATTGCCCAAGCCTTGATAGGAAACAATCGAAGACAGATCTTATATATAATAATAGGACTGGCAAATTAGTGAAAAGGTTACAAAAACAAAAGAGTTCTCCAAATTTTAGACATCAAGAAAGAAATGCCAACGGTAATCAAGGAAGAAATGCCAACGGTAATCAAGAAAGAAATGCCAACGGTAATCAAGAAGGAAATGCCAGCAAAGGAATTGTAAAAGATTTATATACAAAAAGGAACAAACTAAGAAAATTGCAAATTGAATTGTCTCTGAAGCTTAAAGATAATTTAGCAAATGTCTTAACTAAATATTTGTTTAAAAGCCATAGAATGATCGTAGAAGGCAAAGATTTTAACGGTTATCATGCCAAAAACTTAACCGATTTAAGAAATGGGTTAGGATCAGATATAGAAGGTCATAAAATACTTGATCAAATACTGTCTGTGCAAAAGGAAATAATTGATCTGGAAAAAGAATTAGGACCTACGATGACATCACAAGTTGGATCACTTCCGCCACTTCCGCCACTTCCGCCACCTCCGCCTTATAATTATGCTATTCAAATAGGAGTTTCAGGAAATAATTATAACTACTTACTATAAGAAGAGGAGCCACCAATACCCTTATCTAATAAGTTTTGGCGTTCATTTATTAGATAATTTACTTTTTCTAAAAAATTATAATATGCAATCATAC